AGCTAAGCCCTGTTGGCCATAGGACACAACCTGTTACACCCACCAATACCCATACCATATCCCTACCATGTCTCTATTTTTTCTTTCATCATTTTATCATGAGAGTAATTATAATAATCACCTATTGTGAGTAACGGTAGGTTACTCACGCTACCGAAAACCTAAGCATAGCAGCTACTCGAACCTATACGAGTAGAACTCATAGGATAGTTATATCTATGCATGTGGTTTCATAAAATTCCTGTAACGTAAATGCACATCACATATATATTCAGTGATTATAAGAAATAAGGGTTATACACTAGGGCTTGCCTTGGGCAGGCGCGGTGTTAGCTGAGTCAGTCAGTGGTGGCTCTAGGACCTTCTCCTGCATGAGAATCTCCTCCTCGTACTCCTCGACGATCTCCTCGAACTTGTGATCGCCAGTGGTCATGATCTCCACCAACTCGTTCTCTATATATATGCGATGATGATGCAACACTTAGCATTTATGCAACAGCAACTCTTAAAATAAGAATACGCATACTAAGCTACTAAGTTGACTCTAATGACTAAGGTACTAAGCTAACTATCATCTTCATCAAGCAAGGTGTTGGATTTAACTAACAAACCCCTAGCTTGGCAAATTAAGGTTATATCTTTATTTCTACTAATAATTTAATGTATATTGAAACAAAGAGCATTTAACTATCTTAATGTTTAGTCTATTCTAAAGATACAAAAATTACAGTAAGCACATAATAATACCATGAAGCTACTGTAAAATTTTCATGACTAAATCTATCATCAATTTACCACAAAAATTCCTACAATAATTAACTTAATAATATTGAGCACTCTCAAATGATTTAATAGCTCCTGGTATCAACATGTATATATATGAACTAAATACACTAACAGATAGAGCATAATTTTAGGAACCTAACAAAATTTCTTTCATAATTTTTAGACACCTACATGATTTTTATATGATTTATCAAAGATCGGCTCAAAAATTAAATTAGAAAACTATTTCTAATTCCTTAGGAAAAAAAATGAAACCTCCCGTGTGGCTCGCGAGACACAACGCGCGCGCAGCGGCCCATAGGCGTGGCCCACCCAAGGCCGGCCCGCACGTGAACAGCCCGCGGCGGGGGGAAATCCCACACGCGCTGGTGTTTTTGAAAAATAGACTTCACACTTCTCTCGAATTATAACTAAGTCCTAACGCTATTTCTCCCTCTCTCAAACCTTCCCACTTAACCCCCTGGCTTCCCTGAAATTCCCCCGCGCGCACCTCCGGCAACTCAGTCCACGGCGGTGCGGCAAGCGGCGGCATTGAGCGCCTACGCCGGCCACCAGGGACCTACACGGGCCCACCTAACGGGTCGATCACCATCTCTGATCTTGGTGACTACGCTAAGCGGCGGCGAGGGGTGGCGAGACGCGCTGGAGCGAGCTGCAGCGACGCGCGACCGTCCGCGACGGCTGCGTAACTGCCCCGACGATCTAGAGCACCTAAGAACCTAACTAGCTAGCGAGGGAGCTTCAATAGACTACCGTGGACCTAGCCGAAGTGACGGTTGGGGTGGAGGATGGCAGAGGAGGGTTGGCCATGTGTGGGCGAGCCATGTGGTGGCGCACCGTGGTGGCACGGTCGTGTCAGCGATGACAGAGAGGCGGTAGCGGTTCCGCTGATGTGCGCAAGGTGGAGAAGGAGGCAAGGCGAAGCTAGTGGTGCAGGTGAATTGATTCGGGAGGGATGGTAGGAGGGCTGCCAACATCCATGACCGGACATGGCCTTATCGGCACGGCGGCAGAGAAACTCCAAAATTGGAGCTTGGCCGTGCGCGCTTCAAGGCTAGGTGGGGTCGAGCAGCGGGAGAACATGATGGTAAAGCCGTGGATGCGATGAATTAAATGGAGGTGATCACTCGCTAGGTAATTTGATGGCGTGGCTCGACGACGGCAGCGGAGGGAGAAAGAGAGAGAGAGAGACGGGGCACGGCAGGTGGGCTTGGCTCGGCCTCTCCATGGCGAGATGCGGTCGGCATGATTGTGGAAGCCCGCGTGCAGGCGCTAGCAAACAGGCACGCGCATTTGCGACGGGCGTGGCCCGCGCGCCGTAGTGCCATTAATGACAAGGCAACGTCGAGCCTGACCACGTGCGCACGGCAGAGGCAGCATCGCACTAGGCCAGCAGTGGTGTAGAGATGCAGAGTGAGGTACGGACATGACAGCGAGGCGACGGCACCGGTAGCAGCTGCGGCACGGCGTGGGGTGAGTCGTAGTGCGGCAGCGCGGTGGGGCCAGCGGCAGCACCACCCGGCTGCGCAAGTAGCGGCGGCGGCTCCCCGCACTAGGAGCCAGTGGCAGATAGGCCATAGCCAGGCCCGAGCAGCCGTGGCCGTCCACGCACGGCAGCGCACGTGCATGCGGGACAGCCAGCATGGCGACGTTGAACGCCCGAGCATGGTGACCGTGCCCACGCGGCCAACTAGCCCGAAACCATATCGTGCATGAATTTTAAAGCGCATATAAAAAACTAAACGGTTGCTTCTGAACCTTAACCATCTTCACCATATTTAAGATGGCATATGAGACTACCACATCGAACTATAACACTATACCACCCCTTAACCCAATCTCTCAAAATAATTTGCTAAACATAGCAATGTCTAGTAGTTGACAAACTTAGAAATTTTTAAAGTTTTTGAGCTGAACTTGATTTCAATTTGCAATTTTTAGGCTAGTAGAAATATTAGTTAGTAATATCATTTTTCAACAGCAAGTATTTCACTGTCATCTATAAAGTTTGTACTTCAAACTTTATTTAAGTATCACACACATGTTCTATAGTATTTTTGCTTAATAAAAATTGGTTTCAACCCTACTTGATATACATGAGCTATTGAATCAACTTTCATTTAACATTTTTATTGATCATTTTAAGTTACAAGAAATTTATCTATGCATTCTATCACATGCATTAACACATAAACATCATGTTCATGATATGTTTTAGTAAATGATTTAAGGTGTAACACCGAGGGTGTTACATGTATGTTGTAAGTGTTTCGTATGGATATTGCAAAAGTTGGTCGGGATATAGCATTTGTTGCAAGTGTTTTAGAGGCATGTTGCAAGCGTTTGTTAAAAATGTTTCATCTGTTTCAAACATATGTTGCAAGTGTTTTTTATATGGATGTTGCACATGTTTCACATATATGTTGCAAGAGTATGTTCGAAATGTTTCAGTTGTTTCATTCTTATGTTGCAATAAGTGTTTTTATGTTGCAAGTTGCAAGTGTTTATCTAGATGTTACATATGTTTCACACATATGTTGCAAGTGTATATTCTAAATGTTTCATCTGCTTTCAGACTTATGCTGCATTTAAGTGTTTTATGTTGCAAGTGTTTCGTGTTTCAAAGGTATGTTCATAGAGTCATGGGGCACGGGCCGGGCACTGGAGGAAGGGGCGCGGTGAGCCAGGGGTCGGTGATGGGGCCTGTTTACTCCCTGAATATAAGGCGTGATTTGACTTGGTGCGGTCTTCAAAAATATAGCTTGACCTATGACTCCTCTTATAATATATACTTTATAGGAATACAAGTTTAATCATTAGAAAGTATTTCTAAATACAAATATAATGTAACTACTTTTATAATATAAACTTTTGATATAATTAGACTAATTATTAGTCAAAGATAACAAAGTTTGAATTTTGAAATACGTGCATGCTTTATATTCGGGGATGGAGGGAGTAAAGGTGAAAAATTTCGCTCCCTCAAATAAAAGTCTAAGAATCAGTAGATCTTATAACAAAATTTATTCAAGCCAAAAGCATTCTGAGTCCATGAAATTGTACATAAGCAGTAGTAAACAAAGGCATCACAAAAGTGGCTTCAATCTCATAGGAGAGGAATTATTCATTAGCTCTATCGTCTATGATGTTTGCTTGCCTGCCTTAATCACCAAACTAGTCAACATATTTCTTTAACATTATCTACTGTAACTATTTAATAATGGACACTATATACACAAACTCTATGCGAAAAAAATCCTCACAAGTAAATCATGCCATGTTTGCCTAGTGCGATTTTCTTTTTAGTTATCTATTGATTATTTTTGGCCACTTAAGAAACAATGAAAAAGGATAGTTATGAAAATATTAATACTTTTCATTAGATTATGTGAAGATTTTTACATTAAGGGTCTGTTTGGCAGGGTTCCTCTCTGACTCCGGCTCTAGTTACTGCGGAGGAGCCCTGCCAAACGTTTTTTTCTGGAGGAGCCATTTTTTTTAAAAAAAACAGAGGAGCCGGAGCCATTTTGGAGGAGCCACAAATTGTGGTTCCTGCAAAACGGCTTTGGCTCCTTGAGAGGAGCCATGCCAAACACCCCCTAAATATATGTATGCGAGAAATTTTCTATTCAATATTATAACTAAAAAGATAAGCAAATCTACTCCATCTATTTAGTGAGTCGAAGTGTATACTGATCATAGGTATGAATTAAAAAGATGTATTGGTACCATACATATTTCTTATGAAAGATTAGTGTGTAAAGCATAATTATATCATTTAACATGGATAAAAAAATTTATTTCCATTTTTATTAACTAAAAATAATAGTACTAACCAAAATCGTTTATTTTTTTAGTCAACTTATAGAAGTATAGGTTAATTATAATCATCTTTACTTTTTAGCATTATTAGGCACACAACTCAAATCAAACAACTCTATTATAAACTTGCCTAAACAGGCAAAAAAGCATCAACTTTCTAAGTAAATCTACAAGCCTTCAACCAAATATGCCCTTTATAATATATTTAAACGTAAAACATTATTGGCTAACTAAAATCAGACTTATTTGTAGTTCAAGGGCTTGAGATGAACTTGTCTTACACTATAATTAAACTGTAAAATAATATTGTAGCTTTAAATTGGCACATCCTGTGATCAATCAATAAAAAAAGGGCGGAAATTGATGAAAAAAAAAACTGTCAGATTCCAGAGCTAAGACCCCGCAACGACCGCGAGAATCGACAGCGCCATCTGACTCTTCATCGTCGCCTTTGCCCGCCTCCCAAGCTTCCGCCTCCTCCCCTCCCGCGCTTTCCCCGATTCTTCCACGAGCTTCCAGATCGCGAAACCACCGTACCCGCAGCCAGGCGAGGCGAGTGCCCACCTTACCCGCGCCGCGGGATTCATCGGAATGGCGTACGTGGACCACGCCTTCTCCATCACCGACGACGACGACCTGGTCGGCGGCGCGGTGGGAGGCCCGCGTGGTGCGCCAGTCAAGGAAATCGCCTTTGCCGCCGCGCTCCTCGCGTTCGGCGTCCTCGGTGTCGTCGCGGGATCCTTCATGGCCGCGCACCAGGTCGGCGGTGACCGCGCCCACGGTGAGGCAAAACTAGTACCTGATTGGATTTCAATTCGTTGTCGTACGATTTGGGTGCTGACTTTGGAACTTGGGAAGTTGGGATTGGCTAGGCTTAGCACTAATACGAAGGGGAGGAGTAATAATTATTTAAGTTTTCTCTAGGGCCCTGGATCATTAGTCGATCTACCTATCTGTAATATGTTCTTTTAGATCCTTTTACTACAAAGAATGTTTCACGTTCATGCTTTCTGAAGACAATCAAAAGGCTTCCTTGTAGATCATAAAAGTTTAAACAATCATGTCGAATGTATATAACTGTAAACCTCTGGTAGGTTTTCTGCTAATAAAGATATAGGAAAAAGTATGTTGTTTGGATGACCTATCTGAAACTTTAGTTTTTTGTTATGCTGTTTGGACCATATTTAGATCATGCCAAACAATTATTGTAGATCATATAAGTAGGATTCAAACAACCAGGGGGGGGTGTCCAGCCCCCCTACAGCTGGTGCATCAATGGAAATATGGGGAGGGTGAGGGAGAAGAAGAGGTGGAGGAAAGAAGAAAAAATAGAGAGAGAGAAAGAAGAAGAGATCAGCCCCCCTTCAATCCTGTTCTGCATCCATCGCTGCTGGTGAGAGTGTTCTTCTAATAAAGATAGGAAATAGAATGCTAGGGCCAAAAATCAATAGATCCTGGAGCATTGCCCGTGTGCTCTGTTTGCTTTCTTAGTTTTCGGAGACTAAGATCCTTGAGTTTGTTTGAGACTTATACAACTCTGAGCCAAGGCTAACTACTTCAATGAAGCCATAAAAATCCCATTTGTTTGATTACAATTATATAGGCAACGAACCGTGGCTTTGTGTGCAAATTGGATCAATTTAATGATTTTTAGCTATGGTTACTGACGTCAAGCCCATCAATGTGCCAAAGGACACATGTTCCTGCGGAAAGAAAAAAATGTTTGTGACCCATTTGGAACGTAGGAATTTCACACGAACCGTATAGAAAATTCATAGGATTTAGTTCATTTTCACATGCCGGCCTGCTCGCTGGTTGGTTTCTGGGCTGATAAGCCCGGCTGGTGCTGGTTTGTTGGGAGAGGAAAACACTGTTGATTGGCTGATAAGCCCTGGCTGAAACCAACAAACGAACAGGCTGGAAAAACACAGGAAACATGGAAAAACCGCATTCCAAAGGGGTCTTAGTTCAGTCAAGGGATACAAAATCCTTTGGCATTGCGATGCATGTTATTTATTTCTAAGAATGGTTTGATAACATACAGAATTGGGTTTTTTTTTTTTTTGCCTTTTCCAAATACAACTGTTTGAGAGTGTGCACGAGTGTTTAACTCTTCAAAAGTTCTCATCCAGTATATAATGCTCAGTAGTCAGTACTACCTCCGTCCTGGAAAGTTTGTCATTTCAGACAGGGCTGTTGTACTATAAACAGGCTAAACTATTTGGTCCGAACCTCATTCAAAGAAGAACAGAGGAAGTAGCATTTATGTAAAAAGAATTACAATAAATATACAAATTATCAATATAAAATATACTTTTAGTATTCTTGATCTGATCTCTAGCCCCATTTTTTTTTATACAGGCATTTTCTTTGCAGTTCTGGGTGTGGTAATGTTCATCCCAGGGTTCTACTACACAAGAATAGCATATTATGCTTACAAAGGGTACAAGGGTTTCTCCTTTTCCAACATACCTCCTATTTGAAGAAGCAATGATGCCCACGTGGTTCGATTGGCTCATCCAACTATCCAAGGACATAATGTGGGCAAACATGTTTTTACCTGTCTCATTCTTTGTTTCTTTTAACCTTTGTCTAAAGTCGACAGCGTGGCAAGTAATCTGTACATATAAACACCACCGTAATGTGTCATCACAACATTATGTTACCACGTGAAGTTGTTCATTATGAGATAACGTTGACCTATCAGCCTATCATGCTTTGGTACTGAATGTGGTCCTGTTTGTCTGATTTCTGAATTACCAGTTGCTGCTGAAGCATTTTGTGACTGCAGTTCATAAGCATAAAATGCACTAGTGAAGTGGTGTGGATGAGTATGAATGTAAAATTTTTGCTACCTAACAGTTTCAAATGTTTCCGGCAGTGAATTTTTTTTTAAACGAACAAGCAGGAGGGCTACCTATTATAGTTTGATAAATAAGAACTTAGAACCACATTGGGCAGTACATAACCAACAACTACATGGCCGGCAGGGTGGTGACCCTGTGGTGAATAAACGCTCCGTAATATTGGAATGCGAATTGTTGGAAGGAATTATTATTAGTTTTTTTTTCTGTAACAATCCAGGTATAGGATGTATTGAGGAGGTACCAGGGCCAGAGTGTGTGTAATGTGTCTAGGCTTTCGACCTTTCGTCATTCACACAACTTAAGCCAGCCCCAACGCAGACAGTTGGCCCTGTTCGGCTAATGGTTTTTGCAGCTAATAAGTCAGCTAATGTTTTTTATTGAGAGAAAAACATTATACTATAGTTATCAAATTTGCAACCCAAGCAAAGGCCGGCACTAAAAAATGTGAAATGCACCTTCTAGTTTTTGCAGGATGCTATTTTTCTCATGCTCTCTCAATCTCTGGAAAGGCGTGAAGGGCATACTCCCGCTATAACACTTCTTTGAACGGGTTCCCGAAACTTTTGTCAAACAGGGTGTTCGTAGCAAGTGACTATGGATTACTATGAAGCCACCAACAAGAGTGACATGGACCTAACATGCAGATATGGAAGATGGGGCTACTAGCCACCTCGGCCACCAACAAGAGTGACATGGAGGTAAGGCCTTCCACAATGGCGTAGTGATGCCCCCAAAAAAATTTAGGTCCCACTCTCTTTACTGGCATCACTCCTCGTATACCGTAACGGTGGGCATCGGTAGCATCATTGCATGGATCCACTGGCCACCGAGCCACAAAAAAGAGAGCATGCGCAGGCAAGGACAGGTATGAGTGTGAGGAGGGATATGGGTGGCTGAGCAACTAATTCATTTTTTATTGAATGGGTGTCGGTTCCTCTTCTTACGCCGTCTCAACTTTTTTCTGGCTTCACTAGAATTTGGCACCGTATGCTGCCATGTGAGAAGTAGTGCCTAAATCTTCTCTCTTTTTCTGGCATCACTCCAGGAGCACATTATGGAGGGCCTAACGTGCAGATAAGATGGAGCTACTACCCACCTCGGCGCATTGGCATCACTCCGAGTTTTGGAGCATACTCTATGACCCCAGCACGAGGGAGCGAGAAGATTTGATGATCGGGCATCAGTTTATTCAATTCGGTGGCACGATTACCCTCCATACTGGCAGCCTTTTGTCTTGATCCAACCGTGGACAATTCTTGGCATCCGTATCCCTGTTGCCCAACATATATAATTGATGTTTTCGTGTAGCAAGGTCGCTAAAAATCTATATTAATTTTGTATTACTGTCAACAGGTTTTGGCATATGTGGCAGGGATAGGAAAAAGTGATTATTTTTTTCATGTAACTAGTAGTCAATTCGATGTAATAAACTACAATGCAGCCAAGGTAGGGCCAGTAATAAATTGATACATACATTATACAATGCAGCCAAAGTAGAGCCATTAATAAATTGATAGATAAAACCAACGACTGATGAACAGAACGAAGTCTGTAAACCCAAGGTACAAACTAGAGTTTTATTCATCAAATTTCACAGACTACCAAACTCACTTCCTAGTACCTACTGATCAACACGAAATCATCATCATCAAGAACCCGGACCTCTTTTTGTCCCACAAAATTCCCCCGTCCAATAGCCTCAACAATCCAGACGAACTCGGTCCTCTTTTCAAGAGGAAGCGGAACATATGGCAGTCTGAAGACGGGCCTTGCCACGCCGAGCTGAGCCAGAGCAGTGTTGAGAGCAATCGGATTTGGTTGGCAGAACAACCATTTCATCAGGGGTAACAGCTTCTCATTCAGCATCGCATTCTCGCCTTTGTACATGAGGCTATGCATGAGCCCAGGAACAAGGTTGCTAGTAACAGAAATGACTCCAGTAGCACCATATTTCCACCTAGACTCATGGCATTCGTCGTCATTACCGCTCCAAATTGTTATACCTTTGTCAGCATAGTGCTTGATCCTCTCATGCCCAACGCATTCCTTGACGCCTGCCATGTTCGGATAGCCTGAAATTGCCACAATAACTTCAGGGGGGATATCCTGGGCACTCCGGGATGGCACGTTGTAGATAATGGTCGGGCCCATTAGGAGGACAGCCTCAAAATGAGAAATCATTCCTTCAGTTGAGGTCTTCCCATAATAAGGATTGATGTGTAGAGCTGCATGCATGCCAACAGCAAATCCCTGCTCTGTTGCGTGAACAGCTTCTCTGGTTGAGTTACTTCCTGTGTTGCCTATCACTTTAATTCTAGAGCCAAAGCAGTTCACTGTATGCCCAATGAGCATGATATGTTCATCCCAACTCATGAGGTGACCCTCTCCTGTTGTTCCCCCAACTATTACACCTTCAGCACCACCCTCTATCTGCATGTTTATGAGAGAATCATATGCTTCCAGATCGAATCTTCCATCAGGCAAATAGGGGGTTTTGACTGCTGTGATTAGTCTCAGACTTGTGATGTCATCTGTTGATGTCCTGCATCTCAGACAGAGGAAGATCAGACCAAAGCAGAAGATAACTCGAATCAAATCCTTCAACTACTTGTGAGCAAACAGTAGTATCCACTTGACTACTGAGCTATAAAACCCTGAACAGAAAAATACTAACTGCAGTTACCAAAGAATGTACAGGATCGTTCATTCATTAAGAAGAACAAACTTCAAATAGCACTACAAGTACCATTTAATAACCAAGCATATATTTATTGATATTCTTTTCTTCCAGACAAAGCAATTCACATTTTACTTTCTGACTAGATTTTTCTAGCTGCAGCATTTTTAATCTTGCAGAGACAATTGCTGATTCAACATAATTAGGACAATTTCACATATTAGCTTAATGAAAATAACAACATATCATGTTACTCTATTGAGTAAATGATTCTTCTAGCTCAAGACTTTGAACTTATCATACACCTATCATGTCTGGAATCTAAAGCTCAAACAAGGCCATGAAATGATTTCAAGCTAGCTATATCTTGAACCTGACTTATCTAAGCAACAAGGAACAATTACAACTGTTCTACAAAAAAATTGGATATGGGAAAAGCTGGCATCAAGCTCCAACTGGTGGCTATCTAAAATGGATTTTTTTTCCAGCATGTATTAATTTTCAATAACAGTTCAGAATATGAGGGCTAAGATAAGCAAAAAAGATTGATCAGGACAATCAAAGGCGAAGAAGCGATTTTATTCTCATCAGATTGATGTATATGGCAAATTTCACCAAAAACTAACATCCTGTCAGCTACCAAAAATGCAGATGAATTATTGTCAGCATTCTTTTAGAAATAAACAAGTTACCGGTTCTTCACTTCAGTACTTCGCATTGGAAGATAATCATCTAGAGTGATGGCTGCCAAGGGAAACTTCCCTCTGCCAGTCCTGCACAAGTACCCACCTGTATTAGCGTGTTGTGTTTGGAAGCAAGGATGAATGCAGAATGGTAAGTAAAATAAAAATTCATGGCAACTCCTTGTGAATTGTATGGGAAGTACAGAGATACTGAAGAAGAGATGGACACGATGAATTCTCCCCATAGTGTTAGATTCATGCATCCTTGGACATGAATTCAAACTTTCAAAAATGTACTACCAATTTCGTTTTTTTCGCTCATTTTGTTTTTCATAATCATCTCTTAGTATATCCTTTCAAAGGAAATGTACTATTGCCATCGGTTTGACCATATTTGACTGAACAAAAGCACGCCAAATTTGATACGACTAAGATATCATCCTCCATGGTGAGATGAAATCCAATCGATATTTGCAAGAAACAGGAACACGAAACAAGAAGAAGTCGCATTCAGCAAAAGAGTAGATTGGGACGAGACCCGTGATACATACACAGATTGAAGGCCTGAAGAGGGTCGCCGTGGCCGTGCAGCCACCGAGGGCGAAGAGGGGCTCGCCGTCGCTGCGCAGCCATTTGAGACAGGGGAGATCGTCCGCGCCGGCAGGAGATTCGTCGGCATCCGCGGCAAAATCATGGGGAATGGCCGGAGCACGGAGTGGGCGTGGTGGCTGGCTGGTGAGACTGGAGTTCCAGTAGACGATGCCTCTGCGGCCGTGTAGCGGCGGCTAGGGCCTTGGGCTTCGAGGCGTCAGTTTAAGCCTTTCTCTCTTGGGCCTTAGGTCATCAGGCAGGTTTTCCTTCCAGCCCAATCGAGAATTTGAGCCCGACCAATATTGTTAAACTACTGGTTCCGGCGATATTAGATCCAGCAGATTCCTCTCAAAAAATATTCCAGAAGATAAACTACTGGTTGACCTCCCCAGTGTGACTTCCACGGTGTGTATTTTGGTATGAATTTTCCTACTTTGAGTTTGCATCTTAACTTTTACATATGTGAGTATATTATATGAATGAATTGTGGATGTAACAAGTTTCAAAAAAAAAAAAAGAATGACTGAAGTATGTTTTTTGAAATAGTTTGAATGTTTACACCTAAGATGTTGCATTCCATTTCTTACTGCTGACTGTCGTAAGAACCATGTGTGGTCTAGCCTAAATCCATTCAGTTCCCGTACTGTTACGGGTACCCTGTTACATCCTCCATCTTACTTGATTTTAATCCTAGGTTCCTGACAGAGTCACATGTTAAGATTGGTTATTGTTTTTTTTTTTATTCTTTGTCATCCACGGTTGCTTATGAAACATTGGATACCCATCACGGCAAGTTGGACTAGACCACTGAAGGAATGAACAAATCAGAGATCAGTAAGGAGATCAACGATGTTATGACAGTAAAATCATGGCCACTCATGACCATGGAGTTTTCAAAGGACTTGCCTTGCGGTCCTGACGAGGAAGTATATGCCCCATCTGCCATTGGGATAAGTCAACGGAGATCATACAGATTTTTCATTTTTCCATGCATTGAGGTTGGCTAAAACAAAAAAAGCTGAAAGACCTCAATTGAGGTCTGAGACTGCCAACTAAAATGATACAGATCTTTCCATTGAGGTTGGCTAAAACAGTAAAACTCCTATTAACAGTAGTCCACACAGTTGTATGGATACCTGGCGGTGCGGGATAAGTCGAAACTTTGAGGTATCCAACAAATGGGCTCTCACAGACTTTATCACCTAACATAGATACAGTCAACGGAGTTAAAGGTTAACTCAATCAGCATTATCAATCTGCAAACAATATCGCAAAAGGGTGTAGACGGACGGTTCCTATTTAGAGTTTTGGACATGTACATGCTATAAAAGATATAGAACAAAATGTTTCAATGATTGGAATGCTACGAGTAAATCAAACTATCTAGGTATGTGCATGTCCAATGGGAAGAATGATTGTGCAATCACCGATAGCCCAATCTAATGATAAAATTAACACGAGATAATGCTTAATGGGTGAACAATCAAAATACGGTTCAAAGGGTATAAACTATAATAAAACATTCAGATACATATCCTTTATATGTTAATCAGTCGCATAAAAATCCACTGATCACTCAAAACAAGAGACCATTGATGCTAGCATGTCACTCAAAGATCGTCCTTGACTCCGATGTTCAGAAGTTTAGCCAGTTTTCCACTTTCATAAGCGTCAACAGTATCTGCAATTCAAGTAAACGTGCAAAAATAATAGGCATGAGCATTCAAAGGATGTTACAAAGCATCCGTTTTATTTTATCTGATTTGTGTACAGAAAAAGGTACCGTCAGAGCCCCCCAAGTGCTTTCCATGGACAAAAACTTGAGGAACGGTACGCCTGCCAACTATGTCAAGTAAGGCATCCTGAATCTCCGAACCATCCTCTGCACCACAAAGGGAAAACATTGTTCCATTATGGCATCATCACAAACTGTCGTAGAATATGCTCAAGGGCTAAAATCAGCATAAAGGATTCACACGTATGATTGTTTGATTTGATATAATTGACCATTCTGCTTTATATTAGATAAAAAGGGAATAAACAGATAGGAAGAACAACGGTGCATCCTAAAGGCCTTTACTTCACATATTCTGGTCCTATTGCTGATGTCTCATGTCCTGTTTTCTCGCTGACTTTGGTAATTATATTGTGGCTTTACTGCTTTACTATATGAACCATGTCTTTCATTTATCATGAAACGTTCTTATATCATTGGCTAACTTGAATAGGGCACATGAAACTTGAATGAGATGGGTCCAAAGAAACAACAATACAGTAGTGCAATCTTATCAGTTAAACTGCCATCCTCTGCCCATTATGTGCATACTGTCCACTGTCTTCATGGACACATCTGTCATTGTGGCAGCAGTGAATGTGTAGAACAATTGTGAAATGGAAGAGGCGTCAAGAGGTATTTGCATTTGCTTATGGTTCAATGTAACTCACGTTATGACATAAGAGACACTTGAAGACATTTGTGCATGCTTCATCAACAAGTATTTGTGTTTGTTTATGGTTCTATGTAATTCACATTATGATGTGAAAGACATTTGAAGACATTTGTGCTTACCTACGATACGAGCCTATAGGACATCTCTATGCAGAATGAAGAATGTCAATTAAGAATACTCCCGCATGGATACTTTACCTTTTCTTTTGGGGTTCAATATATTTCTTTATATTTTATAGTATCATTGACTATGCAAAATCTAACTGTGCAATTGCAAAGACTTGCTGACTGAAAACACTATGAAAGATGTATTTCATAACTCTACCCTCGTTATTTCAACGAAACTGTGACACCTCCACTAGACCAACAAAACATGACTGAATTAGGGAGCATAGAGCAAGGCAGCAGGCACTCTAAAACAGTAATTAGTGATACAAAAATGAACGCAAAGCAAACCTCGCTGATCAAGCTCCACGACATATGGCTCTTTCTTCAACTCAAGCTCCTTAAACACGGCCTTTGCTCTTTTGCAGTACCTGGGAAATTTAGTGCTCTCATAAGATAAAAGAGTATCTTACACCAGACATGTAAAATGCTGATAAGTGTATGTACTTTGGTACAGGAGCTACAACCACAAAGCGTCATCTCCATACATTCATTGCTCAAACGTTATCATTGTGCATTCGCTGCTCAAGTCACCTGACTATCTGACTATATCACTTATCAGTGCATTTTCTTAATGTTATGTACTCCCCACAAGTGTGTGTGTTAAACTTGATAAATATTTGAGTTTAGCTTTTTGAACTGCACCGCAAGAGACCTAGTGAGCTAATCAGGTGGACACAAGAGCCACCACCTCAAGAGAATTGTTGTAATTTCTGCCAAGAACATTTCTCTTACACTTACACAGTGACATCAGAGTAAATAAAATTGTTAAACAGAACAAGCAGTGAATCCTTTTTACATCATACAAGCAGTCAAGAAGAGTAAAAGCACTTTCACAGAATGTGCCAAGAAATGCAAAGCAGACAACAATTTGGTCACGGCATAAAGGGCAGTAACTCATGGTTGCTACTTTGCTAGGACAGAACTGTGCTGGGCTTTTCCTAATTTGGTATAGGATCCAAGTTGTGGATTTCTGTACTACAGAAACCGGAATTCTACAGCTGGGCATGCCAAAAAAAGGGCGAAACAACCCCTCAGCTCCACCAGTAATTAGGGTCAGACTTGCAGTGTATATTTTTTTTCGAGCAATCAGCTTACAAAATAATAGACCGCCTGTGCGCCAAAAAACCACAACAACAGACAATTTTGAGCAAGCGAAAGGATGAAATCAGTGACAACTAACAGCTATATACCATATTTTCTATAGCTACGAGTTAGGTTGGATATCACAGCAATCGTACCCAGAATCCCGGTTTAGAATCTGGATCTCCGTAAGGAAAAAGAGGAGAAGGGATTAAGGGCGAGAGGGGTCGTACGGGCAGTATGACTTGGAGAAGATGACAACGTCGTGGGCGGAGACGGTGGACTTCACGAAGGATTTGGGCGAGGACGAGGCGGATCCGAACGCCGCGAGGGCGATGAACGCGGCAGTTGCCACCGCCACCCCGATCCGCCGGCCCAGCAACGCCATACCCGCCGCCGGTGAGGCCGAGATGCAGGAGTACGGAGACAAGGAGATTTTTGAGAGAACCGAAGAACGCCCTGGTTGGGACCAGTTTTCTTTCTATATAAAGCGTACTAGGCCTCACTAGCTTGGGCCGCCCACGAAGCTACGCCATTTATGTTTGGATCGCGTAAACTGACCGAGTACGTCTTCATTGGCTTTTCTCGTGGTTGAAAAGTACCACCGGTACTTTTTAGGTGCTTTCTATTTTTATTTTTACAGAACATTAATTTGAGAAATAAAATTAAAAAATTAAATTCATAGAGAGATATATATTGGTAATTGCTTAATATTTGACCATATACTTTTATGGAGTGAAGTCGATCTGTTCAATGCCGACGGCCCCCGCTCACTGCTGACGTCTTTCCGCTGTAGATGCAGCCGCCCCCGTTCCATTCATCGACTGCCGGAGAGCAGCCACCCCGCTCGGTTCGTGAGCTTCGACAACAAACAATAGGCTTCCACGACAACTCAGTTGCACCGTTTAATCAAAACCAACACATATGGCTTGCTCAAATCATCACAAAAGCAATCATTAATCATTTCACATCTATCAAATTCATGGTTCATAGTTTATTAACTTTTTTGTTGTGATGATTCCACGCAATGACTTTGCGGTCGGAACTCACCGATTCGACCCTAAGAACTAGCCACCAGCCCTGCCTACGATGGTGTCCAGGATGAGGGCGACCGTGACAATGCATGGCTAGGAGGAGGGTGTTTTTGAGATGCATAGGATCTGCCATATCCGGTTGTGGCGCTCCACGCACGACGTGGAGGAAGGGTTGAGGCTAGGTTGCGCAGGCGCACAAATCATCTCCACCTCAAGCAAACTGTCGGCAGTGAGGGGTGCGCCTGGACCCGCATTCCGGAGGTGGAACTCAGGTTGCACATGATCCATTGGCGGTCGTGCACGAGGATTGTCGCCCAGCTCGATCTAGACAGGAGCAGCGACGGTGGCAGCCAACCGTGGGCCAGACACATGTGAAAGGCAGGATGAGGGGATCCACCCTTCACCTTTTTGTTGACTATGCTGCCCTAAAGGAGCTCACCATGGACGATTCTCATGTCTGTGATGATGCTCGGGGATAGAGGAGAGACGAGGATATTGGCACCGGGGCGCAGTGGATCTAAGGGTCGGTGACATCAAACCGAGTTAAATTACCTAGGTGCCCTTTATTTTTTTTTAAAAAAAAAGAAAACAACTAGAAAATATAGGTATTTGCTCTCTATACGTTTGGTACCAGTCCCACGTATTTTGGTACTTCCTAGCACCTTTGCTTGAGTACTTTCTGTTTTTCCACTGTTCGATCTCGCCGATGAACGGTCCATGTTTTTCCAACTATTATAAAACTCATAAATTCTGAAACATACGTAGACTATATCATGTGTGCTGATCTTTGTTGAAAATTTATTTTACAATGCATTTATTAGTGGTGAAGTCGCATCTTGAAGATCCTAAAGCTCGACAGAACGCAAATAGTTTGCGAAGGCTGGGGATTTGAATGATACTATACCAAAATTTTGAAGTGGCGTGCACACGTATAAAAAGTCCGTTAATCAATTGCACAGTGCTGCGTCTGACCGCGCTAGCAACAGCAGGCCCGTAGATTGACAGGAGCAAGGTGGGCAAGTGTTCAGGGCCTCCGAATTTATAGTAAGTACTAATAAATAATAGCTAATCTTTTAAATAGAAAAATACGTAGCATATCTAAAAAGGACTTGAAAGTTGCAATCTCTGGTTTGTTAATTGGATCAACTCACCAACGTAAGGCCTAATGACCATGTCCACCAATCTGCTTGGCAACTTAGCTTCCCGGGATGTTCATTTTTCTCTTTGCCATTTTGCTTTCTCGTGCCACGATATTACTATGCTAGCTGTTAGGGATGCTAGTGTACGTGTTACTTGAGTACTACTTTTTACTCTTTTAGCATTAATATTTGATCTGTTCTCAGTAGTGTAACACCCATATATATCCTGAAGCTTTATAATTAAGTGAAAGTATGCTTTGATTTTTCTTGAATTTTAGACCCCACCGTGTATTTTGGTTCAGGGGCCTCTAAATCCCTAGGTACGGCCCTGGCAACAGCACCACACTTGCTAATAGCTGATAGCAGCAACACGAGCCATCAAGGCTGTTCACAGCCTTGCTAATAAGCTCTCTCATCTGGTTTCCCATGCGACAGGATTGGGTTCCAAGACAAGAGAGGCATAGATGAGCTCGTTCCAGGCGTCCGGCACGCCGGGGAGGCACCAATGGCTGCAGTCCTGCTTCCTCTTGGACACCTTCCTGTCCCCGGCCTTGCCGTACACCGACGGGTGCCCGTCCCTGCGGAAGTTGGTCAGCTTCGTGACGTTCAGCAGCCGCACCGGGAACCGCATCCGGCCGATGGCCTCCTGCACGATCCTCATCTTCAGAGGGTAGCTGTCGATGATGGCGCCTCTGAACGTCGGCTCCGTCTCGCCGTTGCACGAGCCGCCGGAGTCCCAGTCGCCTCCCCTGCAACAAAAAGGATCATGACATCACGCCACAGCTTCACACTACTTCTGTTGGTTGCTCGATCTATCGTCACCTGAAATGCGCAGTGGAGTATCCTCGGTAGAAGACGACGCTTCTCGCCGGGTCCATGTTCCTGTCGATCCAGCGAGCCCATGTCTTCAGAGCTCTTCTGTAAGCTTCAGTCGAGTCGAATCGAGGGTACAACGTGTCGCCTTCCTTGTAGTAGTTCTGTCTGTGCACACCGTTCAAAATTCGAGACTGATCAGTAACTATGAGCAGAGGAGGCTGATTATTGGAGCTGCAAAAACAGCACAAATCTACCAGCGAAAGCCGTGCGTACCCTCTCGCCGTCTTGCCGTGCGTCCACCAGTGGCCGGTGTTGAAGACGAGCACGTCGGCCTTCTTCCACCGGTTCGCCGTCTTGTCGATGCGGTCGATCTGGAGGATCGGGTTGGAGTTCCCCTGCCTGTTGAAGCGCACCCCTTCACGGACCAGGAAATGCGACCGCACGAACTCCACGGTGCAGCCGTAGTCCTACGTTCGTTCGTCACATACACACACACGCTGAACGAGTTCATCCTCCTCCTCTACCTCCATTCCAGGCTAGCTAGCTACAGTAGTTTGCAGGCTGCCACTACACTTGATTGATTTCATTTACCGCGAACTTGAAGACGAAGTAGCCTCGGCCCTTGCTGATCCTGTACCCGTGCGTCTCGAACATCCTGGCCTTGTCCGGCAGGGCCTCGCGCAGGACGCAGAGCATGGACTCGAACTGGTTCCGGTTCATCGAGTCGCCCACCAGCAGCAGCCGCTTGCCGCGCAGCCTCTCCAGGAAGTCCGTCGCGTTGAACCTACGGACCTAGCGCGCGAATCAGCAACATTTTTGGGGACGCAACGACGCAAACGTGTCGGTGGGTGGGTTGGTAGTGGTACCTGGGGAGGCTGCAGTGGCGCGGCGCCCAGCGCCACCGCGTGTACCTGGAGTCCGGCCGGCCGTTCGCCGCGCACGCGTACGCCTCGTCCACGTAGGGGCACGTCCCCGGCGGGTAAAGCGGCCGCGCCTCCTCGTCCTGCACCCACTCCCCGTCGTACAAGTCGCACCTTCCGGTTTCAGTTCCACCCGCCTTCTCTTCCGCCGCCGTGGACTCGGGCGGTGGCGGAGAGGGAGAATGCGGTGGTGGTGTTGGATGCGGCGCTTGTATCGAAGAAGGCGGCGGCGGAGAATGCTGCGCCTGTATCGGCGGCGGCGGTGGAGAATGCGGCGCTTGCATCGCCGGCGGCGGAGGAGAATGCGGCGCCTGTATCATCAGTGTCGATGGGGGCGCGGACGGTGGAGAGGGAGACGGCGGTGGTGGTGGGGGAGGTGAAGGTAACATCTGTATCACTGGCGGCGAGGGCGCGGATGGTGGTGACGGTGACGGAGCAAGTGGCGGCGAAACCGTCGGAGCTGTCCGTATCGTTGGGGATGGGAGCCAGGTGAGGCGGTTCAGGGAGAGCGCCCGTGGGGAGGCGTTGGAGCGGAGGAGGAGAGGGAGCGTGAGTGGGAGGATGAACGGGACGGAGGCGAAGGCGGCGGCGAGCGGGACGGCGAGGCGCCAGGGGAGCCGCGGCGTGGACGGCATCGGCATCGGGGAAGCCGGCAACCGGTGCGGTGGGAGCTGTCCCTGCCCCGCGGCGGGTGATGCGAACGGGGCGTGGATCCGGCGAGGCCGAAGCGAGAGCCGAGAAGAGTGGCGGGAGTCGCGCCTGGCAGTTGACTGACTGTGGGCTTCCGGTGACAAGTGACATGTCATGTGGGCCCCAGAGATCGTGGCCCGTTACAGAATACAGAGTGGTGCAAGCCTGCAATTGTGTCGGTGTCGACGAGCCAAGCTGTGGCCTGTGAAGTCGTTTGGGCCGTCCAGTTTTGAGTCGGTCTAAAACAAGGGAACTTTTTAAACCCAATTTGAGGATTTCTAAATAGAAAAGGTCCACATTACCTCCTTAAATTTCACGAAAGTCCGCTTTTTCTCCCCAAACTCTAAAACTGGGTAAAACACCTCCCTCAACTTTTAAAACCATTCATCTTACCTCCTTGGCCCTGTTATAAGCGGGTTTGAAGGTGGTTTTTTTTCTTTTATTATTTATTTCTGCTGAATCTTTAAAAAATCATAGTAAATCACAGAAAAATCATAAAATATAAAATCCAATTTTGTTGGACTCCACATGAGTAGATCTACACAGTGAACATATAATATGGTATGCTTTAGTACAGAGTTTTTGCTGTGGCTTTAGATCATGTTTTTCTGTAATTAAATAGAATAATTCATAGCTGCAATTTCTATGGTTCAATTATGGTGAAATTTTTATGGTGGGCTAATTATTGTATGCTTAAAATATAGTAAAAATTTCATACTCATTGGATCATGTATAACTTAGTTATAGATTTTATTTAGGTTTATGCTTATTAAATATAAATAAATCTATAACTAAGTTATACATGATTGAATGAGTATGAAATTTTTAGTACAGTTCAATCATATAATAATTAGCACACCTTAAAAATTTTATCACAATTAGACCAAAGAAACTGCAGCTATGAATTATTCCATTAATTACATAAAAGCATAGATATAAAGGTACAATAAAAATTTTGTACTAAAGCATACCATATTATATGTTCACTGTGTAGATATACTCGTGTGGAGTCCAACAAAATTGAATTTTCTATTTTATGATTTTTCTGTGATTTACTATATTTTTTCAAAAATTCAGCAAAAATAAATAAAAAAGAAAAAGACAAAATCGCCTTCAAAACTGCTTATAATAGGGCCATGGAGGTAAGATGAACGGTTTTAAAAGTCGAGGAAGGTGTTTTGCCCGGTTTTGGAGTTTAGAGAGGAAAAGCGGATTTTCATGAAAGTTGAGGGAGATAATGTGGATTTTTTCCTTCTAAATACCTCCGAGGCTCCAAATGATTATTGACCATGTTCTCCTAAAAAAAGATTATTGACCATGTTTTTATTCCCAAATCCAAATTAGAGAACATTCGCCATAATAAAAAACAGCAAACTAAGACAACCCCATGACTTTCTTTTGTTTGGAAAAAATGTTTTCATAATTTTTCATTTTTAGAAAGTTACAATATTCAAAATTGTTACACGTAATATTTTGTGGGGCATAACTTATCACAACAACTTCTAATCATAATTATTTTCAATATTTTTTGATAAAAAATTGTAGACAACTTATCTTAATATTTTTCCTACATGACATTTCAAACCTAACTTTCTTACAACGATTTTGCAATCATGACGTGATATCCGATCCTATGCCATATTATCTCACTCTCTTTTCTTCTTCTTCTTAATATTAACTTATCTATTTTTTATATACTATGAACAAATTTTTAGGTTGAGATAAGTTAACAAACTGTGTAAAAATGTAAAGTTGTATCTTTTTTGGAAATATGCTGAACAACAAAAGCTTATGTGTATAAGTTACGTTATTTGTAATATTTATTATATGAAAGTATACCTACAAAATTGATGTTGAGAAATTGTTATAAGTTTGTCAGATTGTAAATGTCATGTTGACAAGTTGTCTACGAGCCCTTTGAAATACAAAAAAAAATCAAATTATATATGAATTTCAAATGAAAATACGGAATTTATGAAAAAAATACGTGTTCAAAAGACGATGCACATGTACTACATGATACATTGGCACATGGCCCAATTTTTGCAATTTGGTCCTTTTTTTAAAGAAAAATTATGTTTGGCTCCACGGGAGACGTAAACTCATCTTTGGACCCTGAGGGTCGACGCCAGGACTCATGGCTCCGAGGTAACACGTCTCCGTGCCATAGATTTGGGCTCTGAGGTACCTGGCCGTGCACAGCAGGGCATCCTAGGTGCATTCACCCTTCTCATTAGGCTTGTTGTGGTCAAGTAAGAGTTTGTGCTTTGTTATTCTTGGTGATCGCCATCACCTAGATGGCTCAGTGGTGATTGGAGTTTGGTTATCATCCGACGGAGCTTGTGGATGACCCAACTCAAGTTATGAGCGATTGTGGACGATTCACCGCGACGGAGTGTCGAAGAATCAGCCCGTATGAAAGCTCTAGTTTGGTTTTGGTGAATTGATGAAACCCTATGTGCTAACCTAGTTTATCAAGTGATCATGAGATAGGTAGCACACTCTAAGTGGTGAAGCAAATGAAGATTATTGCATGATGAAGATGATGCCAAGGTGATGATCAACTGCTCAGACTTGGAAAAGAAGAAAGAGAAATAAAAAGCTCAAGGCAAAGGTATAAACCCTAGGAGCTATTTTGTTTTGGTGATCAAGACACTTAGAGAGTGTGATCACATTTAGGTTTGATAGTCGTACTATTAAGAGGGGTGAAACTCGTATCGGAATGCGGTTATTAAAGTGCCACTAGATGCTCTAACTAATTGCATATGCATTTAGGATCTAGTGAAATGCTAACACCCTTGAAAATGTTTGTGAAAATATGCTAACACATGTGCACAAGGTGATACACTTGGTGGTTGGCACATTTGAGCAAGGGTGAAGAAGATAGAAGTGAAAAGGAGTAAATGTCGCTGGTTATACAGTGATCGGACGCTGGCATCGGTTGGACCGGCGTGTCCGGTCATGTGTAGCAGTGAAGACGCCGGCGTCGGTCAAATGACCGGACGCTGGGTCGCTCAGCGACCGGATGCTGGAAGGCTGTGTCTGGTCATGTTGACCAACAGCGCAGTGTGAAGTCAACAAGTGATCGGACGCTAGCTGTGTCTGGTCGGGCATGACTGGACGCGTCCGGTCGTGAAATATCGTTTCTGGAACCTTACTGGAAACGACCGGACGTTGGAGGCTGAGCGTCCGGTCAGTTGTAGCGGAGCGTCCAGTCAACAGATGACCGTTGAGATCAGACGACTCCTATTGAATGCAGTGTGACACGTGGCTGACATCGTGTGATCGGACGCTGGGTCCTGAGTTCGGTCAATATGACCGTCCGGTCACCCAGCGTTTTACCCAGTGAAGGGGTACAACGACTCTATTTCATGGGGGCTTCTATTTAAGCCCATGGCCGGCTCAAGCTCTCTCTCTTGGCCATTTGCATTGACATAGCAACCTTATGAGCTTAGCCAAAGCCCTCCCACTCATCTTCATTATTGATTCATCATCTTTGTGAGATTGTGAGAGAATCCAAGTGCATTGCTTGAGTGTTTGCATCTAGAGGCACTTGGTGTTCGTGTTTCACTATAGGATTCACTTGTTACTCTTAGTGGTTGCCGCCACCTAGACGGCTTGGAGCAGCGAGGATCATCGAGCGGAGGGTGGTGATTGTCTTTGGCTCCGATCGTGGTGATTGTGAGGGGTTCTTGACCTTTCCCCGGCGGAGCGCCAAAAGGTACTTTAGTGGATTGCTCGTGGCTTGTGTGATCCTCATCTTGTGTTGGTTGTGCGGCACCCTATTGAGGGTTTGGCGTGTGAAGCCAATTAGCGCGTGAACCTCCAAGTGAGTGAATCGCCACAACGAGGACTAGCTTGCCGGCAAGCAAGTGAACCTCGGTAAAAAATCATTGTGTTCATCATTGATTCCGAGGTGATTGGTCTTCATTGTTATCCACACTTGTGATTGATTGGTTCATACATCTACACGGCGGTATAACCTTCTTGCCTACTCTTTACATTACTGTAAACTAGTTGTCAAGCTCTTTAGTGTAACTAGTTGTGATAGCTTGTTAGCTTAGTTAGTGTGGCTCTTTAGTTAGCTTTTGAGAGCACACTAACTTAGTGTAGTGATATAGCTATTGTGTGGATATACTCCATCTAAACTAGAATTGTGGTAGGTGGCTTACATTTTGGTAGGCTAGCGTAAAACTCGCTTCGCCTCATAATTGTTTAATCCTTTTTGTTAAGTGTTGTTGTAGAAATTTTATTAGGCTATTCACCCCTCTCTAGCCATTAGAAACTTTCAAGTGGTATCGGAGCTGAGGTCACCGTGATTTGAGGCTTAACAACCTTCGGTGTAAAAATGGCTCAAATCTACAACATCAAGAAGCCACCCCAATTTGATGGCACAAATTATCCATATTGGAAATCAAAGATGACCACACATATCAAGTCAATCAATAGAAGAGTGTGGAAGGTGGTAGAAACCAAAATTGAGATTGAAGATCCAGAGAATCCCACCGCGGCCGAAGAAGTGCTTCTTCAAAACAATGACATTGCTCTAAGTGCCATTCATGATGCAATTGATGAAAGAACATTTGAGCAAATCAAGAATATTAAGATGGCTCATAAGGCATGGAAGAAGTTGAAAGAATCATTTGAGGGCACTCAAGTCGTGAAGGGTGCAAAGGCATACATTCTCAAAGAGAAGTTTACAAGCTTCAAGATGAAGGAGAATGAGAGTGTGCCAGAGATGTTCCATAGGCTTCAAGTGCTTGTCAATGATCTCAAAGCACTTAGAGAAGAGGTGAAGGACAAAGACTTCTCCCACAAGTTCTTAAGATGTTTGCCTTTAAGATTTGGTATATTGGTCACTATCCTAGTGAAGAGTGGTTTAGACACCATGACACCAAACCAAGTGTTGGGAGACATAATGACCGATGATACATATAGAGATGATGATGAG